TTCCTCATTGGGTTTCTCTGAACTGTTAATGACTTTACATAATGTTATTCTTCATCTTTCCACCTGTCACCTCCCTTTCTTGCATCTATGCGCAGTGGAACTATCTTTCTTCTCTTTCTGTACCTACTGTCTGAAGAATGAATGAACAGTTACTCGTCCGGCTGCCAATTTGGAGTCCAGTCCATCAGGACTTCAAAATGTCTTTCCTAATTCTGCACAGTTACTGTGCTGTTATGATACTTACTCCCTGTGCATCACTTTGCATTTGCCTATATTGAATATTTTCTGCCAGAAATCATTCAAGATGGTGGGTTCTTTCTGCAGATCTGCACAGTTTTCTCAGTAAACAGTTTATGAATACCATCACGGAAAATAAATCCTAGCCTAACTGCTTCTGTGACCTTACTGGTAAACAACTTACTTTTTTGAGTTTTTAATGTGATTGCTAAGATTTTCTCCCCTTTTTATGGTACCAGTTAGCTTATTTGAGAGTTTTCAGTAAGAACTTTGCTCAAACTTTAATTGTGAAAAAACTTTTGACAGTCAGCCAGTTCACCTGTAACCATGCAGGTGTTGGCTCTTTCAGACATTTAACTAAGCTTGTCTGCGTTCTTCAGAAGTGATGTTTTATTCTTCCCCATTTATTGTGAAGGTAATATACGAGATGAAGTGATACAGGAATTGGACTCTTGGGACCCTATTCAGTGGGCGCTACTGTGCCAGTTAGGGGATTTTCACAGAGACAGATCTGTGAGCAAAACAGATTTTGGTTTTGCTTCTAGTGGTGAGGTACTGTTTACTTCCTGTCTAGCTCTGGTAGTTTCTTACAGACTGATACCATGTGCAGCACTCAGATTCTTTGAAATTAATTTCACATAATAGTTTTTGAAGGAGATAATTAGTATCAATTTCTTTAACCCTTTTCTCTGACAGCTGTACAAAGTAGTTGGTTACTGTTCCTTCTGCAATGTTTTAAAGTTTAATAAATTCCCTTTCTAACTGGTCTTTAAAAAATTCTTTTACTGGTAGTTGGTTTGGGGATAGAGTAGTCCATGGGAAAGATTGATTCCAGGATGGAAACCTTGCTAATCTCCTCTATAGATATTTAAGTAGTAGTATGTTTTGGTTTTTCTACTGTACATTTTTTTCTTCCATACTTCCACTTTCTACTCTTTTTTGAGTTGTTTTTACCGTAAACTGTTAATATAATTTGGCACAGTTGTTTATGGTATATATTTCATACTTTGGATGTATAGCATGGTTAGTGAAACGTGATAATATGATACAAACTATGCCTTTACAGACCACGTGCTGTGATTCTTTACATTCCAGCAGACTCCAGTATTCTACAAGGCATGAAAATTTGCAATATCGAGTGGAGTATCATTACAGAATGACTTTCCTTTTAATTTCTAACACACTGCATTCATTTAGGGCTTAACAAGATGCATTCATTATGTACCTATGTCATCAAGTGTTCTCCTGTGAGAGCTGGGTGGAAAGATGGGACAGTCAATAAACACTTTGTTGTTGAGTTTATTTACCTGTGAGGAAATCATGGATCTTCTGTCTAGCTTCCTGTTGCAACATGTAAAATGCTGCTTGAATTTATAAGCAGCGTCTTTCAGCCTTACTAGGAAGATAGAAAGCAGCTGAATCTAGACTGCAAAATACATATAACTTCAAAGAATTTTCTTTGCAACCAGCTACTGAAAACTGTAGTGAACCTGTAACAAAAACATGCAGCAAATGTGGATGCCTCCAAGAAAATCAGGCTTTGGGCTCTGTGCTAATGTACATTTATAGTCTTAGATTTCCACCTAGAACATTTGTTTGAGGAACAGGTACTGTCATCCATTTAATGAAATCTGTATTAGCTTTTGGCTTTATTTTTTATGTGAATACTTGTCTTTTATAAGGCTATTATGGTATTTGATTTAAAAAATGATTGATAGGGTACAACCCATCATCTCGTTTTCTTGGTGTGTGACTTACAATTTTTTTCTGTTCATAGCTCTGTTCCTAAGAGGTTTTAGCCATGACTAAAAGAGAGGCAGAGGAGCTGATAGAAATAGAAATTGATGGAACTGAGAAACAGGAATGCACTGAAGAAAGGTATGTACCATCTTTGATTTCTGGGGTCCTTAGGCTGTAACTCATTTATTTGTTTTCTTTGATTGACTTCAGATTTGTAGATGCGCACACTAAGTTTGGTTATTCACATTATTACTGGGTGTTGTGTAATGTTCCAGAGATGGCCATGGTTATGAAATTACAGGTGTTTTCTAGCTAGGTAGAAGAGGCAACTTTAAACTGGCAGAAGTGACTGGCTCAGTATGATCTCCCTAATTTTGCTGGTGATTGTTTCCACAGTTTTTCAGCTTTCTTGCTGGATACAAAGTTTTTAGTTTTCCTTGTGCTCGCTTCAGTTTTTCTGTTTCTTATCTAATCAAATGGTGGTTTTCATGAAGTGGAACTGGAGCTGCTATAGGAAACCAGTATAGTGGTATCATGTTCTTCAATCTTAATTGCACAAGTCCCAAACCATTTTGTTTATCTCTTGCTACAGTCATAGTAATTCTCTTCCTCTACTTTTCATGTCTGTAGGAATATGACTACATATACATGCTGCTCACCTTTCAGCTTCAGTGTATCCTTCTGTAATTGTGATGAATCTTTCAGTTTCTCCAGTCCATAGCTTCTCTGTTATACAGGGTCATTTTTTAACAGAGCAGAAGTTATGTTCTGTATCTATGGACTATATTGTTAAGGCCATTGAAACTGTAGATTCCTAAGTCTCATATCCTTTTACTTAATTGCCTCAACTTGATTTTTTTTTTTTCTTTCTAATGGTTCCCTCCTAATTTTCACAAATGTTTTTGAAAACACAGAGGGGAAATTAGTGTGTTGGGTAGAAATACCTGAGGTTGGTAGGGGGACTGCTCTTTGTGAACTGATTCAAAACCACTTACTAATTTCTTCGTGTTCCGAACTCTTTGTGTATATCTACTGCTTACAAACTGTGTATACTTTCTGATTTACTTCTGTGTAAACGTGGAGAGACTAACTTTCTAAGGTTGTTGTTAAGACCAGAGTCTCATAACACTGGTATTTCTAAATGCCTGTTCCAATATTGTCATCGTTTTGGTGCTGGACAACCATAACGTGACTAAAGTTTCCTTCAAGGTTCTATGTTGCTGTAGTTCCTTCTGGTTGGATCTTGCATGCATTAAGCTTATCATTGTGCTAACTGGTGACAACACATGGACAATTGCTCTATATGCGAGTGGAAGTTTTTTCCCTTCTTTTTTCCTATTTGTTAAGTTTTTTGTTGTTTTTAGCTTGAATATCTTTTAAATGCACTCGAGGGAAAGCAAATAGAATTAGTTTACGTGCAATTAATACTGTATAATATACTAATAATGACTTAAATCTCCTGAAAACCATGATCTAAAAATAATCTAGCATTTAATCTGGCATTTAAACTAGCTTTTTGATGGTAAAAGAATTGCACAACTGTAAAATCAAGGGGACCAAATCTAATAATTTGCTCTCGACTCAAGCCGTGAGTTTTTCTGCATGGTATTAAGATTTCAGAGTCACAGTTATCTTCTATATAGTTTACTTTCAACTTTTTTTAAGTATTTCTATGGCTACTGTATTAACATGTAGGTAATTATTTGTTGTATTGATTTGATATTTAAGCATCATTGAGCAAACCTACACCACAGCAGAATTTGTGAGTCAAGCTATTGACATCAATGAACCAATTGGAAATCTTAAGAAGTTGCTGGAACCCAGACTGCAGTGTTCCTTGGATGCACATGAAATTTGCCTGCAAGATATCCAGGTAAATTGGAAGGCTATGTAAGATTTAACCCCTTAATAAAGAAGTATTTTACGTACTTCAGCCCTTTCTTCCATTTTTTGTGGAACCCATACTTAATTTGGTATATTAATTACAGTTAAGAGTTTAATTTTTTGTCAGATTCATTATCAACAGACCATTTAATATGTACACGTTAATACTTTTTGGGATTCCTGGGGATAAGAAAGCAAAAAATTATCTCCTTGTAAGTGAAAGAAGAATGAGGGCAGTGATAATACCATCTTCTCTAGAGGTAGCTCACATAATTTGTTGCCTCCTGAACTTCCATGATTCTCATTGTTTGAGTATTAGTAAAATGAGAAGATTTTTGTACTATTCACGAAGTGAAAATACTTCAAGGTGTTGCATTGCTTTTTTTAGGTTAAAAAAAATGCCCCTGTAAGTGAAACTACCTTAAACAGAACAGAATGACAAGTTTCAAATTCTGATCAAATTCTGTCCCACTCCATGTCTACATAGTACTCAAAATATCTGCGTGCTTCTTGAGAAAATTTGCTGCAGATACTGTTTCTAAGTTTCTTACAACTCTGAGACTGATATGTATTTTTAATTTTTCTTTTCTTTTGTTAAGCTTGATCCAGATCGAAGCCTTTTTGATCAAGGAGTAAAAACAGATGGAACAGTGCAACTCAGTGTGCAAGTAATATCTAGGCAAGGTAAGCAGTTGTGTTTGCCTGTTGTACAGAAAAGATGTTATTGTAGGAGTGCTTGTGAGCAAACCTAATCTATTTCTAGCTGTAGAACTGAGAAAAACACTGGTAACATAGCTTCAAAATGTCTCTTTACTTGTGTGCCATGGTTATAAGGAGTAGTAATTAAAATAAATGTCGTGGACTGGTGCTATTTGAAATGGTTTTTGTACTAACTTCTTATTCATTTCTAAGTTAAAACACCCAAACCGCAAAACTCACACTAACTTGGATGAAATAGTGACAGTTAGAGTATGAGGCTTTTGTTAAGCGTGAGTGGTTTAAGGGTGGGTGGTTACTCATACCAGACAAAGTATCTAAGCAAGCAGAACATTTTTGTCTAGGTAGGTGGCAGTTTTAGCTTTGACAGCTAAGTGTGTGTGCTTCATGAACAACTCAGTTATGGCAGTATATGTAGCTAAACGAAAATTGGTGTGGAAGGCTGGGATTGCTATCTGTTATCTGTTCTCTTTGGATGAGAAGTCAGAGTAAACTTGTGACTGAGGAGCATTAACCAGGTGGGTGGGGAATCTGTTGATGCATGGGTTTTATTTGTAATGTCAGGTATGACGGGCTTTCCCTTTGTCAGATCTTGGGAATTAGTAGATTCATTGTTTTGCTTTTTGTTCCGTTCTCCTCCTTTTGCCCCCTCCATATGTCTCGAGTGGAAGAACTTGCCACCACTCACTGAAGACAACGTTCGTGTTGGGCTTTGGGAACAGCCACAGGTGTTCATTGCTGTATTTTCAAACAAACATTGACAGGTTCCTACCGGGGTAGGGTACCTTGGATTATCTGGTTTGAGTTATGTCAGCAAAGCAGATTAGCAGAGTTTGGGGTGCAGTGTAGATTAGACAGGAGAAAAGCCTTTCTGTTTTATATTAGAAGTGTTAAGACTGACAATTTGCATTTAATGCTGGATGTCAGGTGACTAGTGCTGAATCCTTGGTTCTCTGTGTGTAATGGGGTTGAACTACCTTTCTCGTTTTAAAAATAGAGATATCCTTCAGGCGACTAGAATAACGTGCCCAGTAACTTGTACGCAGTGCTCAGACTGCACTTTTCAAAAGGTTGCAGGTGGTTAAACATCATAGCAATTATCTTCCAATTTCTTTCTGTTTTTTTTTCTTTAATGTAAAACCGAGGTGCATGACTATGTAGTACAAGGACCTGCTTTTTTTCCCTCTCTCTCCGCTCCCTCCTCCACTCTCTCTGAAACACCTGACTATTAAGTACTTTGTATAATTTCAGAACTATCTTGAGAGCTGTTTTTCTGGACATGATACTTGACACTTAAGCAACTCATAAGAAATCTGTCAGTTGAAAGCAAATAAAATATGGCAGGACAGAATACCAGAAAACAAACAGTGTGGATATAAGTAATAGAAGGACAATACTTGGTTCACTAACAAGCAAATGGACTTTTTACACTGCAGTGTCCCTTTGAGCCAGAGGGGAAAAAACCAGCTTCTTATGCCATCCACATATTTGTCTTGTATGGATGAAGTAATGAAAGAGTCTCAGTTTACTTTTTTTTTTTTCCCCCAGCATGTATAATATATAGAACTCAGCTAGTAGTAGTCAATGATGCTAATCCTTGTGATGAATTGGACTCTTATTTCTTAAGAGAAAAGCTGTTAATGTCAGTTCAAGTGTCAAATTTTGAGTAGCCATCTGAAAATTCAAAGGACTGAATGCCAGCTGAAATATGGTCCATTGTAGTTCTTTTATAGCGTTTCATACACAGATACCTTAATATAAATTGCAGCAGATAAAATATCAGTCCTGTTTATCCTTTTTACTAGAAAGACCATTCTGTCACTACACCTTGCCTTGTCTCCTTTCTTCTGGTTTGAAGAGTGGAGATGTAGATGGTTTTCCTGCCATTGTGAGAACAGCAATTCGGAGTAGAGCCCTGTCCTGCGCTGCTCTGAACTAGGCCTTTTAAAAGTCTGTGGAGATCTGAGTAACTGCATTTCATCCTATGTTAAGGAATTTGAAGAGAGCTTTGATTTTAAAGACCTCCGTAGCAAATATTTTGGTCTGTCATTTTTTTTTAACCCATACACAAGTTATTAAGTTATATCTCATCCAGGCTTTCTCGTGCCTGTTTAAGTATAGATAATATCAGGTAAACATTTTGTCATCCTTAAGCTGTTATGATTGATAGGTGTGTGTTTCTTGAGATAATAATAAAATGGACTCTGATGCTACTGTTTGTTGTTTGGTTGGGTTTTTTGCTTTTTCTTTTTTAGAGAAAAGAGACAGGGTGGTGAGGAGGAAACTTTTCAGCTTGTAAATTCCAATGCTAGTGTATGGTATAGGTTGAAATCTTCTTTGGGAAAATTACTGAGATCGAAGATCTGGCTGGCAGTCTGTCACCTGAAGGAATCTTTTCCTGCTTTTTCTACTTCCTTAATCAACAGAGTAGAGGCAAGCTTGAATGGAAGTACTTGTCACACTTTTTTCAGATGAACCATGGGTGACAGAGACCCAGGACTGATGGGGCTAGATTGAGGGCAGTGATCTCTGGCAGTCATTGGTTTGAGCAATAGGAGGAGAGAAACCCGTGTTATGGAGTTAGACAGTGTAGGTTTGCTTTCTGTTTCTTGTTTACAAAATATGCAGACAGTCCAGTTAACCTGTCATTCAAGTAATTCACGTCCCAATGTGCACAAATTACGAGTCAAGATTGTGTTTGTGAATGAAGGTGTCTGTAGGTGCTGTTTATGTTGATTCAGTTCTGTCTGTTACGCACATCCAAAGCACACCTGCAAGATTAATGTTTTTGCAGACTGATGATGTTCCACCTACTTCCTAACAGTTTGTTGAAATGAGATGTTAGTGTCAGCTGCTTTGGGAATTTCTGAGCTTGTGGACGAGGCTGTACTATAGGGATTTACACAGACTTTGAGACTAAGTGGTGGTTACACACAACATGTTCTTTGGATTTGGGTAGCTAAAGTCTAAGTCATAATTCCTCATTTTACTGTGGTTTCTAAACTTTTTTTTTTCAATAACTGGTCTATTATTTTTAGTATGTAAAGGAACGATTCATAACTGTAATGAAACACATAGATTTACATGAAAGGTGCAGTTTCACTAATGTTCTGTCTTTGGCTGTGTTTAATACTAGACATTTCAAGGAAAAAAACAGCTTGCCTGTAGGTCAGACTTAACCCTAGTATATTCTCTAGCTTCAGGCAATTAACAGCAAAGGGTCTTGTATTGGCAACATCAGGACATGTTTTGATAGCTAACATCCTTGAATTTGTGTAGGTTTTGCACCAGTTTCTACATCTGGGCTGTGTGCCATCATCACATTTTGTTCCACAACTTATATGCTGTCCATGGAAGCCTGTTTTCTTATTCAGTAGGTAAAGGGATATGAAAAAAGATGCAGACAAACTCAGTGAATTAATGTTGATGTGGTGTTGCAGTAGGTTAGGTGGCAGACTGTTACTTCACAACATTTTTACTTATAATCAGATTCCTCTACAGAGACTCATCACTTTGATCTCCAGGTTTGCGTTATGGATAAAGCAGTAGGCTCACAGTTCTTTTGACTTGTAGTTATTTGACAGACAGTGAATTATTTTGTTGAGCAATAGCAAACCGTTATTCTCCAGAAGTTTTTTCCTTTACTTTATTTTCTGAAGATCAAAAATAGAATCTTAACTCTTCATGTTTTCCCTTACCCATTTTTCTCTGACTTTAAAACAAGCCTGTGCTGCACCTGTTAATCTTAGATGGCCTAGATAAAACACTCTCTTAAGGTACTTATTTGCTTTTTCTTCATGTTTGCTTCTTCATCTAATCAACCACTTACAGGTTGTCTGTATCTGTTTTCACTTTCTTAATTTCATATTGCTGCATGCTTGTAGTGGTCCCTTCCTAATATTTTTCTCAAGCTGAATTCCTTTTAAAATCTAGAGGAATACTTGTCTGAAAGACTTGGTTTGTTCTTACTTGTACTACAGGTAAGTACTCCATTTGTTTTCCCTTACAAATTGTGAATGGATTATGGTTTTAGCTTTTAAGATAGTCACAAAATAACACCTTACAAGATCCTGAAGTTATTCTGGCCATGCGATGTGCTGTGAATCCTACTTTGAACTGCCTAACACTAGTCAAGGTTTTTCAAGTCATAGTAAAATGGGACTTTACAGATATTGGTTTTTTTAATGTGCGGATATGTTTAATAAAAAGAAGTGTGGTTGTTAGTTGTTTTTATCATGGAAATTGCATGTCACAAAAATGAAAGAAATTTTTTTTTGTTTAGCGTATTATAGTGACAAGAGAAATCTTCTGTACAATGTCATAAATTTGGTGAGGCACCAGCTGGACAAAATACCTTTGCTTATGACAGAGAAGATGGTGATAGAAAGCATTAGTAGCATTAGTAGTTCTTCATTGCTTCAGAACAGATGCAGGCCTATCTTTCACCTTCATGGTCTAGTATCTTAAATGACAGACATAAAACCAAAATATAAATAGCAGATGAAGCCTAAACCGTGAAGAATTTTCTAGTTTTTCTTGCTGATGAACATGCTGCCTCTTGCAGGGCATTGAAGGAAAATACTAATTACTGTGTGAAGGTATATCCCAGAGGTATCAGAGAAATATTTTCAATGCAGAAGGAAATGCCTCTTGGATGGGGGAAAGAGGAGGCTGCTTGTTTTGGTTTTTTGAAGGGTTTTTTTTCATGTCTTTTTTTCTTTGATTAGGTATATTTCTTACAGACCAAAATACTCGTTCTTTATGCCCACGTGCTGAATATTCTGTTCAAGATACGTGAAACGGATCACCTAAATAGAATAGGAAGCTGTAATACTGGGGGAGGAAAGAGGGACAGCTCTATATTCACCTTACTAAAGTATATACTCTGTAAGAGAATATGCCATTCCAATTTAGGACAGAAATTGGATGATGCTTTTATGTCATGCTTCTTTCCTGAGTATGCTAACACCTATTAATCAAGCAACGATTTTGTCATATTTGCATCGGTACCTCTAAGTTTTGTGTTTTTTCTTTCTACACCCAGGGATAGAGCCCAAGTTGAACATCCTTGAAATTGTGAAGCCTGTGGAGACTGTTGAGGTAGTGATTGATCCAGATGCTCATCATGCAGAGGCTGAAGCCCACCTTGTTGAGGAAGCTCAAGTGATAACCTTGGATGGAACAAAACATATTACAACAATTTCAGATGAAACCTCTGAGCAAGTGACACGATGGGCTGCAGCGCTGGAAGGCTACCGAAAGGAGCAGGAGCGCCTTGGAATACCCTATGGTAATAATACGTGACTCTGTGTATGTGTGCACATGTGTTTGGGCAGGGGCTGGATTCTTTTCTTCATTGGGATATTGGTGTTTTTGTTCCAAGTGATAATTAATTTTGGTTATATACTTAACGTGCTCCAATACCTTGGAGAAGGCTTCATATGGTATGGGTAAGTACAGTGCAAATATCTGCATAAAAGAAGGCAAAAGAGAAGTAGAACTAGTGCTTGTAATAGTTATATTAAAATACTGCTTTTTGCTCCATAACCTTCTTGTCATTGCAATTTTTAGAAGGCAGCTTTGTTTTTTTCTCCCCTCAAAAATTTATATGTTAGTGGTAAAGCTCTTTTTCACATGTGTCTGAGTTTGAGCTAGGCTCAGTACTTGGTGGGGGTTGTCTCTAAAGATAGCGAAACAAATTGTTCATAGGCTGTAGTATGGCGTTAAATCTAATTTTGCATGGAAAGCCATACTTAACTGCAACATACTGGAAAAAAAGATGATTTGTAACTGAATATAAGTGTCCTGGTAGATCATCATCTCTTTTGAATTAATGTTGCTGTTTGGCAGGCTGCTAATTTCATGTTAGCTTAGAAAAAGCGTCTCTGAATGCCTGCTTAGGATTGATCTGAAACTGTGGGGTTTAGACCGAGATCACATTCAGGAGATTATCCAGCTGAGTTGCTTGTTGTACCTTGCAGAAATGTACCATCAAGGCATATTGAACACATGAAGCTGCAAAACTGGAATATATTTGTCAAGTGGAATATTTGGAACTGTTTAAGAATTGCAGAGAAGTCACAGGTCTTTGCAGGACATGTAGCTTGATATTTTGAACGTTGATAACTAAAGCAATGTCTTTTTCATCCCTTTTCTGTTGTTTTCATTGGCAAGCACATCTAAACAAAAATAGCATGATGAAATCTATTTGATAATCAGGGATTTGATGCAGAACATTTGAAGGGAAAAAAAAAAGAAAATAAATGAGGCCTTATCAGGAGCAGACTGGTATTTTTTCAGGATGCTCATGTGAAAGCTGTGTGTCAGTAGCCACTTGTATTTATTTCCTGCCACAGTTACAGTAAGGACTAGCATCCGTACAGTCAGCGAGAAGAAACCTTGCAGTGTACAGTGGGGTGATTTGCAGTGATTTGCCTCTCTTTTCCCAGACCCAGTGCAATGGTCGACAGACCAGGTGCTCCACTGGGTGGTGTGGGTGATGAAGGAGTTCAGCATGACTGACATTGACATCAATGCACTCAGCATTCCCGGGCGGGAGCTCTGCAGCCTCAGTCAGGAAGACTTCTTCCAGCGTGTGCCACGGGGAGAAATCCTCTGGAGCCATTTGGAGCTTCTTCGAAAGTGTATGGGAGATTTTTTTTTTTTCTGTGACTGATTTTACTTGTTGCTCCTTCTCCTGTTTGTTTCTTTCTTTCTTTCTGTGAAGATGAAAATCAATTATGAGTGGTTGTTTTTCCCTTATTTAATATCAACAGTAAAAATGAGGACATCAGTACAAGGTAAGAGGAGGGATTAGCGAGGATGTCTGCTATTAGGAAACGTGTCTGCTTACCGAACACTGAGTGCCTGTCTTTCATCAAACTATAACTAAGAGGGACAAAGTTGTGACTGATGATTACTCCTTTGTTGTAATAAAGATTTTTAGTTTGTGCATCTCCTGAATCTGACAGTTTTGTAATTAAATATTGATTGAGAGTTATTTAATGTACATCTCTGTGTCATATAGAAGTGAAGATTATTAAGCATAGGCAATGAAATCATTAGATTGTACACAACAAAACTGATAAGCGACGTGTTTGTATGTATGTAATACAGTAACGTGTATGTGCGTTTCAGATTTGCCACGCTCGAATGTGACTTGGCAGACTAAAAAACTAAATCCATCTCCATTGACATGATATAGCTAAAGGTTTTAGGGGGTGGAGAATGCATAACATACCTTGAAGTTCACCATGTACATCCTTTTTTCTAAGTTGAATGACAGACATTAAATTTCTCTACTCACAAGACCATGAACTATGTATGTCTATTGCAAACTGATATTGTATTTTGATTTTATTTTTTTTTACCGCATGTAATAGGAAGTTTTTGATCTTCAGGTGACTTGAAATTTGTCTAATAAATAAAAACTTACTTTTTTTTTTTCTTTCTTAATTTGCAGATGTGTTGGCTAGCCAAGAACATTCTGGAGAAATAGCAACTGTTACTATTGATCAGCGTAAGTTTTTTCTGCCAGCAGTTAATTCACACAATTAACTAGGTTTAGCACTATACTTTGGTTCAGCACTATAGTAGTGCAGCATTTAGAAAATCACTCAATAGTTTTCCTTGGTGAGAAGAACAGGATGTGTTTTAAAATTCAAAGCAAAACATTGTGTTTATCAATATTTTGTTACTGGCTGAAAGGAGGTGTATAACCTGAAATGTAGAAGTTTCTAACTTTCTTTTGGTTGGTCGGTTTTCCACTCTCTTGAAATAAGCTGTCTAGGATACATATTTGAGGTCTTGAGTTGTTCTGTTATTTTTAGGTTGTATATTGCATTGATAAGTAGATACATTAAAATATTAATGATTTCAAAAGAAAGCGTTTCTGAAAATTGAAAGGGAACGTGGAAGAGAGGACTTACTTAGAAACCAATAAAAGGGAAAAATACATTAACTTTTCAGCTATTTGAAACTCATTCTTCCAGCTGAAGCAATGTCATCAATTATTAAAACGAATCAATTTTCAGAAGACTTGTAAGCAGCTTCTATGTTAAATAGATAGACCGTGTGTTACATCCTGGATTTGTGTCTAGTTAAAGCCACCTAGAGGGGAGCATTTGCATCCTCTTACACCATTGCAATAGAAAGATATTTAATTGCTGCTTGAATAGCAGGTACGGAGGGCCGTACAGTGACTGTAGAGAAAAGTGCGTTAAGGCAGATTGTATGGGAACAGCATAAAGATGAAAACAAAGGCACGAGAGGGTGGAAACTTGTAATACACATGGTAGTAAACTAAAGCTGTTGTTCTGTCTGTAGTGTGGCATCTCTGCTATGAGCCCAAACCCACAGTTTTCCCCTGAAGGCCTCAGAAGTGTTTGTTATTAGCATTGTGACTTAGTGTGTCTTTTTAGCAAAGGAGTAAACTAGCTCCTAGATGTTATAATAAGGTAATAAATAATATATGCCTATTTCTGTGCCAGCAATTTATAATTGATGTTCTTCAATGTTCTGTGCTTTACAGCTGTGCAGATTATTCCAGCATCAGTACAGCCTGCTACCCCAACTACCATTAAAGTCATCAACAGCAGTGCAAAGGCAGCTAAAGTGCAGAGAGCTCCGAGGATCTCCGGGGAGGATAGAAGTTCCCCTGGAAACAGAACAGGTATCCTCTCTGTTCTCTTCAATGCAAATGCAGTGAACACGTATTAATTTGAATTGCAGTTTTGTAGAATGCATCCTTGGCACTCTGAATGTGAGATTTGCAGGAGTCCGTGTAGTATGTGGGCGACTGTGGCTACAGGATACATCACAAGCACACGCAGACCTGACCAGCTGGTTGTCTCACGCTGGCACAGTGTTAATGTGGTGCCACATCAGCATTAGCTTTTGAGTCAACCTGTAAATAAAATGAATAAACTTGTTTCTTTTCCTGGCATTTAAGTCTGTCCTCTGAAGCCAGTGCATATCATTTATGCAAGCTTTTAACTTCTCTCTGCTTTCCATTTTCAGAAAGGGGAGAAAATGAACTGCATGTTGTATAGTCCCAGCATAGCTACTGCTTGATCTACTTGTCCCCTTCCTGCTCTTCCCCACTTGATTGGTGACTTCAGAATTTAGCAAGCTTCAGATTTCTTGTTTTATTAAACAGGTGCACCGTCTTGAAAACTGCACATCAGATCTACAGTACTCTCTGATTACTAAGAACTCATCTTGATTTCTTGTTTTTTTCTTGCTGTCATTTTTTCTTTGATTCTCTCCACTATTGTGAGTCTGTTAAATTCATGCCTCAACTTCCCTTTGAGTTTTTACTTGTTTTAAACTCTTCATAAGAGTCTGTTATGATGTCATTCAGGATTCCTAGGTCAGGATTTTATCGACTGACAACAGTGGGGAGTGCTCTGTTTCCCTGTTTAGACAGTAGGTCTGCTGTCTGTATCTCATGTTGATTTAGGAATTTAGCTGCCAATACTTGAGTTAAAAAGATATCTTAATGATTGGACTTGAAAGATAATGGCGTAAGCTGAACTTTGGGTGTGGGTTTTTTTCTCGTATTTCATGCTGAAAATTGGAGACACCTATCTTTTTAAAGAACAACATATGTTTGTGTGAATACCTGAAGAGCAATAAGCAGTTCTTGCTAAATCTATTCTATTTTAAGGATAGATATGTGTTTAAATCAATGTGTAGTGTTATATAATATTTTTTTCTTAAGTTCTAGAGACAGGTTTATAAGAAATATTATTTTCTTTCTGTATTCATTAGTTCTTTTTTTTAGTAGATTAATACAGGTGACTTTGCAGGAAAATGTTTGCAAAAGAATAATTAGAATAAATTAATTAATTGCGAGTTTTCCTTCCATCATATAATCTATGTTGGTATGCTTTAATATGTTGGTTGAAGATTTTTTTATCTATGAGGGGAACATAAAAAGGGCTAATTGAAATGGATCTTGTTATTCCTATTTCAACAGGAAACAATGGTCAGATCCAGTTGTGGCAGTTTTTATTAGAACTCCTCACTGACAAGGATGCTCGGGACTGTATTTCTTGGGTCGGTGATGAAGGAGAGTTTAAACTGAATCAGCCTGAACTGGTTGCACAAAAATGGGGACAGCGCAAAAACAAACCCACGATGAACTATGAGAAGCTTAGTCGGGCCTTGAGGTAAGAAACTTTAGGAGCTGAGCGGACATGAAATGATTTGCTTCCGCTTGGCTATTTTATTTTTAAGTATTATAATGCAAGACTAGTGGCTTTTTTAGTAAGGAGATAAAGAGGTCCTCTGAAGCTACTCCTTCCCAGCAAATTGTGCTAGTCTTAGGGACAAGGTGTTTTATTTTTCTGTAAAGAAGCTAGTACATATGAAATATGTACATATATACATATGAAGTATGAAAACATATTTTCTTGTTTTCAGGATTATTGAACACTGACACAGTAGTTAATTTGAGTAGCTCACATTTAGAATATTTTTTTAAGGCATCTTTGGCATTTATGCTTTCAGTAGTGTGCCAAACAATATTGATTGTTGGTGAAGCATACAGAAATACATGAGTACTCTCAATTATTAACTTATTTTTATATTCTTGCAGTTTGTGTTCCTCTTTCTCTTGTGATAGTATAAAGCAGATACTTTCCTGTAATTATGTATTTGTTTGAAATAGTTTTCTGTATGTAACAATTTTTTTCTATATGTAACAAAACTTTTTCTAATTTCAAATATTCATTGATTTATTCCACTATTCTTATGGTAGGGATGTTAAATTGAAAAATGCAGTTGACGGGTAAGTTTCAGCAGTTGTGATTCCAACACAGCAAACTTTTATTATCTGAAGAAGTGGAAGCATTTCATGTTGCCTTCATTCTATTGAGATTTTGTAGTTTGTCATTAATTAAAGGGACTTGTATTATTGAATCACTGTAGGTGGTGTGCCTGAGGAGGGGGAGGAATGCTACTATCTGGATTTTAGAGGTTGTCGGTTTTTTCCCACTGATTATTTTGGCCTCTGGTGTCATTTGAAGATTCATCCAAGTTCTCAGAAGTCATTAAGACTGAACTTCTAATTTCTTATTCTGATATGGTTAAATCTGTTTCTCTTTATTGTTCAAGAAAGATATTTATTGCCTAATCCTGCAAATTATTTAAGCAGTTTTGGGAACTCTTTTTATATGAGTGAAATTGCATATTGGTTGAAGTCTGAGATCTGAGAGTTATTCTTCAGCGTTTCCACTTTTGGCTACACTGTTTTTTCAAAAGGAAGTGAACACATCCAGCATTGTTTAAAAAAAAAAATCAGCTTCTATTTTAAAATACCTCTGTCTTTTAGGGAGAGTTTAAGTAACATCAGTATGCATAGTGCTCAGTAAGTACTTTCACTGGGGAAGATTGACATCTAGAAGACCACAAGTGGTGTAGAGTCAGGAGAGAACCAGAGCTCAGTGTGTCACCTACGTGAATAGGAGGCATTAGAAGAAACTAGCAGGCATCAGATCCACAGCTTAACTTCTGGTTGTTGTTTAATTTCTTGAGGCACGGTATTTTATTTTGTGAATTTGAGAGGAAAGGGAATAAATTAGTGACAAAGAAATATTTTGAAGAATACTAGGTATGGAAAGATGCAACTGCTAGTAGGTCCTGAGCTCCAGATCATTGAAAGCAAGGAAGAGCATCAATACATGCTTACTCTACTTTCATCCTTTTCCTTAGGTGCCCTCTTTTGGTCTGTTGGAGTCTGTATTCTGTTTGTATTCTGTTCTAGATACATCTCTGTGTTCTTGTATGGCTGTTCTTGTGTGACTTACATATTAAATTAGAATGTTACTTTTTTCATAGGACAGAATCCCTCAGATGGGAAGAACCTCAGAAGGTTTCCTCTCGCTCAGAGCAGTAGAGTTGCAGTAGAGCTTCTCTTCAGACTTGTTTTTTGCAATACCATTCCCATATTTCCAGCCTGTTTTTATGAATCTATGTGTTTGTGTACTGAAGGTGTATGCGAAAACTTTCAGGAACATAAAAACAATATAACTAATGCTAATGTTTTTCTGAGGTTTGTCAACAAATGCCACAGAAGATTTCAAAGGCAACTGAAGAACTTTAGAATAACGTTCTTATCACTTGGATATTAAACAGATGTCTGCACAGTAATTTGCATAAATTGCTATTAGAGAAGTTTTGCATTTACATTTTAGTCACAGAATTACAGAAATCACGTTCCTCAAAATGTTGCCGTTTTGGCAGCTGCATCAATATTGACGTGTTTTCTAACACTTGAATGTCTGAAGGGATATTTAATGTCTCTTGCTACTCACATGATAAACACTGTTTCCACACTGAAGTGTTATTAAATGGTAATATGTTTTGTTTACTAATGTAGCGAAATTACTGTATCACTTGTCAATTAATAGAGAAAATGATGTTGATATTTTTGTGGAGTCTGCTGGATTTTCAGCTCAGCTGTAGGAAAAACAGACAATATAGAAACTAAGGCAGGGTAAAAAACACAAGAGTAGCTTTTTTATGTTACATACACCTTGGTGTATTTTCTAAAATAAACATTTGCTTAGTTACTCAGTAGGGAATTGAGACTCGTAGAAAAATAATTCATCTCCTCTGTTGTTCTGAAGTGAAGTTTTCATGTGACTCGGGACATTCCAGTGACTAAGGCTTTGTAAGCTTGCATCGGTGTTTGTTTATTTTTAGCTTTCTGTGTTTTTGAATAAGCAAATCCCGTAATCAGAAATTCATTCAACATAATGTTGAAGACAATCCTCTTGCCATATTGCCTCTATTCTAACTTGAGTGATTCTAGCATGAAACGTGGGAAATTTGCATGGGTTTGGGCCTTTGCATAAATGCAGCCTAACTTCTTCTGGTCCTTTTCTGATCATAGCAGTAATGCAGACTAAATCATTTAAATATTTTCAGTTTTGCAAAGCATTTTTCTACAGCATTATTTGAGACACACATGATTATGCGATGAATTAAATGCTTGTGCAGAGTTAAATAACTTTTTAAAAAGAAAATTTTGGCCAGTGACACTTGTCATACGCTATGGCCACATTTTACAAACTCTGGCTTTCTGCAGATGCTTTGTGTTGACCCAGGTGAGCACAGCTCCCACTTCTCCAGTTTCTCCATGTCCAGTTCCCTGCCATATTTGACATGAATGCCTGCCTGGTGTTCCCACATGGGAAGCTATGCTTTATTTCTCTAAGCTATACGGTATTTCGCACATGAAGGATGCACCGGGATATCTCGCATCCTTCCCCAATTCTGCAAGGCTGTAGTTCAAAGCTGAACAGAAATTGTCACCCTCATTTGTACTTCATTGGGGTGATGGTTTTGAGGAGAAGAAACTATGTGATTTAATTGGTTAGGCTGGTTGGTTTTGGTTCTTTCCCAAATTTGTCACAAGCTTGTTAAGTTCGTCAAGTCCAAGTTATGTCCCAGCCCCTTGGGATTTCTATTAATGCCTGCAGTGAGACAGAAGCAGTAACAAAACTGTAAAATTCTAACTTCGGTTTTACTGGTATCACATAAAGCTTTATAATGTCTTGTTACTGCATTTCTGCCCCATGATAATTCTTTTGTGGCACTATGTAAAAAGTATTCATAGTTAGAGAAGTCACTTCTGGTTGTAAATAAAGGCAAAGGATGTAGCTGTAAACTATAAAAACACCTTAAACCCACACGTTTTTGTAGTTTTACTTCCATCTTCAAAAACAATAAGGAGAGAATGGGTGCTTTAGTATCATAGAAACTACAGTGCTGGTTCTCAAACTGTTTCCAGCATGAACTCTTTTCCTTGGAAAAGCAGAAATGAGTAAAGAAGGCAAAGGACAACAATGACATGGAAGGCAACATTTTCTTAAGGCAAAGCACTATATAAAACTTATTCCCCTCCCCTTGAGCTGTTTTTAAACCGCTCCAAGACTTTCATTCCTGTACTCGTGCTTCCAGCTGCATATAAAATAATTACTGTATTTATTTTTTTTTCTCCTTAATGTTTGAAGGTGCAGGGACAATTTTCAGCCCTCTTCCCTTTTCTCATGTAAGAAAATGCTTAGACAGCATCTTGGTATGTGAAATTATGTGAGAATCGTGATGAGAAAAAGATTCATATTTTGGCTTGCGAGTGACCTTAAGTAAATAACCAATATATACGGGAGTTACAGATGCTGAAAATGTACGTTGATTTTTAACTTTTAATTTTGTTTCTGTTTTTACAGGTATTACTATGATGGAGACATGATCTGCAAAGTGCAAGGCAAGAGGTTTGTGTACAAATTTGTCTGCGACTTGAAAACCCTCATTGGCTACAGCGCGGCGGAGTTGAATCGGCTGGTGACAGAGTGCGAGCAGAAGAAGCTGGCCAAGATGCAGCTCCACGGCATCGCCCAGCCTGTCACAGCAGTGGCGCTGGCCACGGCGTCCCTGCAAACGGAGAAAGATAACTGAGCACTGGGACCTGGAAGTGGGAGCCCGAGGCCTTTCCTGTATAACCAGAGCAGCTGCTGCTCTTACCTTGGTCAGAATGGGAAACGCCTTTTGTTCCTTGACAGTACAATATAAAGCATGTTTTTCTATAAAGAGCTGGGACTCGTGTAAATTTGGATCTTTTAACAGCATATATTTCCATGTAAGTTAAGGGATCACCACGACTTCTGCAACTTTGAGTCAGGGCCTCTGTGGTATGCAGTCTGAAACTGGTAAGGAAGGTTGAACTGGTCAGCCCTCTGTGTCCACAGCCGTGCAACATAATTCTTGCAGCGCTTTTAACAAAAAAAGAAGTTCCTACATAGAGCAAGCATGCTGATCAGTTGTCTGAACTCGGTTCTTTCCAGTCTTTTGTTCTCTGCTGAGCTACCAAATGGCGTTTGGTGCTTTCGAAGCTGAACATGTTCATTATTCTCATTTAATCACCAAAAGACATGTTAAATGTTACAGAGCATCAGATTCTTAAAACAGCCTTCTGTGTTTTTGAGCAAAGGAGACTAAGACTAGACCGAACTGAAGATCAGTGCTGAAGAAGGAGATCCAGGTTTAGATCTGGCTTGGGTGAAAAGCCAATTTTGAGTATTTCATTGTAATATGTAGATAATATGCATATACAAGAGCAAGTATTTGCCCATTTGGGAAAACATGGTTACCACTGGCCACTTGGCAAAAAGCAAAAATAAACTTCTTCCCCCACTACCACCCCCATCAGGTGATTCGAAAACTTGAAAAAATAGCCCTTGCCCAAAAAGTGGCTTGTTTTGGTGGGGGGAGGGTTTTAATGCTCTGATCTGCAACGTCCTTACACCTGCATGTTAGTCAACCTTAGGAACTGAAGACTTAAGTTAATCACAGTCAGTAGTCCCTGTTCAGAAACAAAACCACAAGTTGGAAATAGTTTTACAGAGAACTGAAGTTTGATTTCCAAACTATTTTAAAGTCTGACACACATTAAAATACAAAGATTTATTTTTTATTTAAAATATAATCTCTTTCTCAATTTCACGTGATGTTTTTGAGGCTTTGTAAGCCAAATGCATGCTCTAAAGCTGGGTGCAATTTGAAGTCTGAATGATGAGTAGAAATAATTGGAATGTATTCTGAATTCTCAGCTATGGATTGTACTTCATGCAAACTTATACATGCAGTAAAACGTGGGCTGCAACTTTTGAGCTTATGTACTGATACCTATTAGAAGATTTCTTTCAATGACTGAAAATGGTGCAGTTTGAGGTTTGCTTTTGCCCCTTCATGTTAAACAGAATATTCTGTTACCATGCATTTTTCCAGCTTTTTATAAGTGAAACCCCCTCTGGTAACACTTAACAATTAAAATTCAAATGGATAAGGGTACACCTTTAGTTCTGTGAGGGACTGAGCTACTCATAAACCTTAAATCAAAAGTGCTTATTGAGTGATGTTCTAAACATTTTATATATACATATATATACACACACAGACTGAGTAGCAAGAGTGCTGGGCTGTTGCTCTTGATCTGGAAAGGAACGGTCATACTTGCAGGCAGACAGCAAAGAGCACAGAAAACTCATGTTTGTTTTAAAAAGTTGAGAACAGAGCTTTTTGTTTATAAGCGGGTGTTCATCTGGAGATACTTTTTGCTGAACTAGAAATTTTGCACGTAGTTACAGGCTATTTTTTTCATCACCACAATTAGAATTTTTTTTTTTTTCTAGATTCCTTCAGTAACTCATAATACTGCTTTCACTCTTGAGCTCTTGAAGCAGTCTACTCAGCGTGCTGGTTTAATTTTGTTTTCCAAAAAACTCTTAAGCCCTGAGCAAAACACGTAGATGTAGATGTGTCTGTCACGAGAGGTCAGCCATCAGTCCCTCAATTACTGCGATGGTCTCTTTTCATCAGTCGGCATGTCTTTGGGGTGACTCATGCTAAGTGATGCAGGTTTGCTCCCCAAGAATAAAAGCAAAGCTGCCAGTTTGGTGGCAGCAACCACGTGTGTGACACCGCTCCGTTGCTAAAGAGAAGTCCAGTACAAGTCACTAGTTTTTCTGTAGCAGTTTGTGAGAGGCCTTTTTGGTTAAAATGTCAGCTTTCTAGATCAAACTGGAATGTGGGAAGATAAACTAGCAGCAAAATTGAAATGCAGCATTAATGCTTTATTCCCCTGAACGTTCTTGTTACGCAGTAAGCCCCTTGGGGGAAACTTCTGATACCACGCTTTCTTTGTAAATACATCTTGATTGTTTTGCAGCTTTTCTGTAGGTGTGATAGTCCTTTGGGTTTCTTGTTGAGGGATCATGTGCTTTTCCACCGTGTTCTAATTAGTCAAGAAGGAATCTTTCAAAAAGTATAAAGTCACTGTTGCATTCTCTGTGGTCAAGGGAGAAATCTGTGACTAACTTGACGTCTTCAATAAACTAAAAGATATAGAATATATTGTCAAAGGTTGTTCTGTTGCTGCCAGAAGAAAAACACAGAGTGAATATTCCCAATTTTTTGTAAAATGGAAGGGTTTTTGCATACTTTTTACTCTTTAAATAAAGACACTTATACTCTGCTAATAATTATGTATTTCTTTTGTGTTTTGCATTTTTTTGGTAATTTTACATGAAACAATTATTTTCTATTTTTACTCTGATAAAATATTTGTGCATAAAATGTCAATATAGTAAAATAAAAATGTTATACAGCTTATGCCTGTTGACTTCTTAATTTTTCAGAAAGTCATTTGTAATGTCGTTTGGGTGCAGCCACTTTAAAGGTGAATACAGGCATGTTATTCTCATTGTCAAGATCACTAGCTGGTTACAGGAAGAAGGCAGACTTATTTTCTGAAAATGCATCTTTGTAAGTCTGCACTTGGTTATATGTTTCTACTTTTAAACTGGAACTTAGTGTCCTTCATTAATGTAACAGCTTTCCTTGAACATCTTAATTCTAAATGTCACAGTGGTGTTTTGTTAAAAATAGCGATGGAAACTTAATAGTTGGACAAAATGGAGCCCTGTAAAATAGGTTTATACATTTAGGAGTGTTTAAATTGGAAAGATTCATGTTGATCTGTAATCCTTGGACTTTGTTTTGTTTTTGCAAATAGCCGCGCTTCGTGTGTCCCGCTGACTCCGTTGTTAGTGTTGTGCTTGCTAAAAGGAAGATTTAAAGGAAAAAAGCAGCCAGGGAGCAGGTTAGGAAAGCAAAAACCTCGATAGAATTAAATCTGGCTAGGGATGTCAAGGAATGTCAAGGACAACGTACAAAGATTCTACAGGTTCGTTAGTGATAAGGGGAAGACTAAGGAGAATGTGAGTCCTTTCTGGAAGGAAACAGGAGACTTGGTTACCTAGGACCTGGAGAAGTCTGAGGTCCTCAGCATCTTTTTTTTCCTTGTTGTGCACCGGCAAATGCTTCAGTCACACTGCCCCAGTCACAGAAAGCAAGGGCAGGGACTGGGAGAACGGACAGCCCTCTGCAAGAGAAGATCAGATTTGAGACCATATAAGGAACCTGAAGGTGCACAAGTCCATGGGACCTGATGAAATACACCCATGGGTCCTGTGGGAACTCTGATTTTTGAGATGTGGCATTGTGGT